AATGAAGCGACCAGATTTTCGTCTTTGAATAGTTTGTCAGCTTAGCTACCTATGAGGTGTAGAAATAAAAAGCATAGTAAAAAATAATTTACTTTAAGAAAATATGAATTTCGTGACGAAAGAACAGCCGATGTTTTCAGTAAAGACTCATATTTTGGGTAACATTCATGGCGCTGCTCAGACAAATGATAAGATATCGATTGCAATCAATTTTATCGAAAAGGCGTAATATTTTTCTGAACGAATTTCACCATACTGGGCTGAACGACGTAGTCATATTAAAAATTCGCAATATCACGTTTCCTAATGTATTGCACTCGTTTGCATCAGTTTTTGGTTGTACCATTCGACTAGTAATGGTTTTATTTCATTGCGTCTAGTTAATCTCCATGAAACGTGGCGACAGACTTTAAATCCAATTCCTAGTACTTCCTTCCTTCGTAGGTTCCCCGTGCAAGTAAGTTTCACTTTAACGCTAACGGAAAGCAATGCTATCTTTCCTTATCACATAAGAGAAGGAATGAACATCCCCTTTTCCTTTTTTTGAAGGAAGTAACGCTTTTCGTGTTCGACTTTTATTAGACACGAAACTCCAATATGAAAACTCGACTTCAAAAAATTGAATTTGCACTCTTTAACGGGATGCTGAGTTATAATGCAGGTACGTTCACATGGATAACTCACACTTTGAAAACTATGTGTCATAGAGAAAGTAAAATCTTCTCTTAGAAAATATGATCAATAATAATGTAATCCACATCTGATAATCATATCCTACCATTTAATAGGCGTATTGAGTTGGGAATATATGCTCAAGTTTTGAGTATAAAAGTCGGATTTCAGACGGAATGTGTATACGTTTGTTTAACTTTTACAAATCGTTTTTTCCAAGTATAATTCATTGCAAATATTACACATTTATATAATGGGTAGAATTGTGTTTGCATTTTTTCTCATATTTCATTAAACTAAATCTCATAACGAAATATTTGTTACAATGTACGATATTGTTCATATGCTTATAATAAATGCCAAGCAAAGCGTTCTCTGTGTGACAAACGAAGCAGTGCACGTATTATATCCCTTAACACAACCTGTCAATCATTAAATTTGTGCACCCAAGTTATTGTTGATAGTTATAATTTATACGGTTTTTATTATTTTTATTTACTTTTTTTTTTTTTTTTTTTTTTTGTTTTGCTTCACACACGAGTAGTAAGTTATGAATAAATTCAAAGTCAAACCAAGCTCAGAATATTTATTTCAAACACTTTTATGTAATTAAAAAGTACATTTTTTTTTCCAAACATATATATTACGTTTTATTTTGCGAACAACTCGAGAAATAATTTTTTCTCTTTTTTTTCGTTGTTTTTCTTTCCAAATAGGAAATACCCTTAATTGTATTTAATTGCTTTAAATAAGTGTTCGGTGTAAAGCGTAACAACACAAAATATAAATTTTTTTTTTTTGTGAAGTTGCTTAGTGTCATAAGGTGAAAGCGTATAATATATTGTTCAAAGAAATTGCATTTTAATTACGCATACGCCCAGTGGAAAACATTTAAACACATGTATTAATGAACGCATACCTTTTTGCGTTATTTTTACACTTATGAAAGAGGGATGAAAGTATGAAACACACCCAATAGCACGCATCAGAGAATTTGTTAATGTATATAAATCTTCGATCAATATTACATTGTGAGTCGGTTTAGCCAAGTTTATTACTTCGTATGTTGTTTGCTGGCGGTAAGCTTACGATCTTGAAAAGCTGAAACGTGATATACTACTGTGCTCAAGAAGCGAGACAAATTTGATTTTATCTCCTTTTAAATCTATTCAGTATTCCAAGTCTATTTTGTCCGCGTCAAAGCAATCCCCCTCAGATGATATATCGTTATTGTGACAACGGTTCTTGCAATCTTCGAAACAGTCGTTTTAGTCGATTTCCGGAGTGTCGTTCAAAGCTTTCTGCGATTCAGCTTTATCTATTCAATCGATTAAAAATGTTGTTCCCGGAGCGGTCTTTTGTCAGTGCTGTCAAAAATTATATCTGATATTCAATATACTCGCACAATTTAGCTTGAATATTAGCCATACCGCTTGAACACAGTATTATATTCCATGTATTCTGAGTTGATGGTGGCCAGAGATTAAGATAGTGATAAGTATGTGGTCTGCCCGCAATGAGAATAAAGTGGGAATTTGTAGTCCGTAGCAGATATTTAATCCAAAAACGAAATGAGATTAAAGTTTCTAGGACAATATGAAGTGCGTCCGTCTCCTGGCTACAAACACCACATACATAATAAACAAAAAATATTTAATTATGACTTGAAAGAAAGTTTCACGTGATTTACGATTATGGATATCAAAGATTCGCTTTAAGGCAAATATTATGAATAATGCTTTTGCCTAAACGAAAATGGAGCGTGTTGGGACGTTGTCGCCGAACAAGCCGAATATTAAATATTATGCATTGAGTTATCTAACACAATTCGTCCGTCACTTATCTTAATGAATACATATAAAAAGTGAAGGTTTCGTTCCGATGGTATCTCTTCGGAAAGCGGTCAATGCAAAAAGCAAGCCAATTTAAGAAAATCGGTCCAGTTCATCAAGGATCGACATCCCGACGAGCAAACATAATTAATCATAATTCAGAATTGATTGTCGTAATACAAATTGGGTAATACAAGTTGCGATAGGCAAGCCCTTCTGAGTTGTTGCACAAGTTTACACCAGCTTAGCGTACCTTTATCATAAATGTAATAAGCTTTTGGAAATTTATTTTTAGCTAGAATCAAATTTTTCACTATTGCCTTTTAATTGTTTTTATTACTATTGTATAATGCGTGTTCACCGAACCTAAATGAAATATGTTCATTGTAAATTGATGGCTTTTAATACTTTTGCGTTTTTAAATAATTGTCACCACTTTTCGCGTAACAGCGATTTTAACGCATTTTGTTGCATAAATACCCCATCACTCAATAACTTCGTAGAATGAAGTATAGACATTGCCTCCTATGCCTCATATCCTATGACTTTTGTTGTGGCTAAATTTGAAGCCTATATCTCAATTTTTGCGATTAAGAGAATGTTTATCATAGACATTAAATAAGCGCACGGGCAGACCGACATGCTTAAGTTCATTCCCAATTGGATGCTGATCAAAAATTTATATGCTTTATATGGTATGTCTGGAGTTTTCTTCGGGATCTTGCATGCGTATAATGAAACCAATATTGAAATATATTCTGAAGAAAAGCAAAAAAATAAAGCGCTCCTATAAGGTGATCAAAAGTGCTGTGCCTTCGTAGTACTTCTTCTTTTATTACCACGTTTGTGAAGAAAGAGGGGAGTGCAAATGAGCAAGCAGTGTTCATTATTGTGTTCGTGCTAATCTTAAAAATAGATCTCTGCGAACGAAAAAAATATTTCTTTATAACAAAAAGCGCCTTTCGCGGAATTTCATGACGTCTATAAGGTATAATTTGAAATATAATAATTAAAGGCTTTACTGGTGATAGGAAGAGATATGGACTAACGGACATGATTAAATCAATTCAATTATTCTTACCTATCGAAAATATATATAACTTATGCGAAGTTTCCAATAAAGATCCAAAGATTTTGTCGAAAAAAATATACCTCAGAGTTGGAAATACAAGTCGAAATAATATGAAACAGCAACGACGAAATTGTAACAGAACTTGATCAAAAAACCGAATTACTCAAAGCACAAAAAATGATCCGAGATATCCGCAATTAGGAGAGAAACAGAAATTTTTATATGTTTGCCTGAGCATCCAGCGTTATCTCTCAGGCGAGGTGTTATAAGAAAAGAAAGTCGCTAGAAAGGAGATTTCTATTCAGAATATTTCTTAGAGTGTAAGCAATAGTACCGCCATTGTCGGTGCTACAATGGCTCTAATCGATCTGGGCGAAAATTGTTATGAACTCTCTTGGTTGGCTTATTCTCCAACTGGCCCTGGCGGCCATTGTCATTTCCAATCTTCGATAAATGATCAATCGAAAGAAAATGTACTGCGATACTAATGCGATAATACTGCGCTAATATAAGAGATATTATGAAATTTGTGGTGGGTGAGGTTAATGGATCTGGTCAATCAGGATTAGAAAAATTGAAAGGGTGAAAGGGTTAAGATACCTGTCGATTTTATACATTTTCCATGAGAAAATAATTATTATTATTTTGCATTCGGATTTTTGCATGATTAATATAATCGCAGCGATGTCACTAACTATATCATACTCGCTTTGCTTTTCCAATTTTGCATTATATTTATTTTAATTGATTTTATGTTTTATAATTTGTTGTTTTTATTTTTCAATTTTTTTTATTTTTATTTGTTTTATTTTTTTTTTTTACTTTTCATACATATTTATTGTGTTCCCCTTTGGTTGTCGTGTGTACGCGTACATCTGTTCACAAAATTCCCAAAGAAGATATATATAACGACAGGCAATCACTAACTACATCAGGTGATAACAATGATACAACGAAACAATTATTGTTGTCCGATCATGCTGCCGCAAAAAGCAATAACAGTGATTTACATGAACACGATGATTGGCAGGGACAGCAATCACAACAAGAACCAGAAATAGATATTCCCACTCCTGCAATACCACCACCAACATCACCATCCTTTACACCAAAACATACACTCTTAAAACCAACCAAATTTACATTGATGGCGAGCAATGGTGAGGTTATTGGAAATGTTGCTACGACCAATAAGCAAATGTTATTGGCCAGCGGCATACGTATAGCCTCATCGGTCGCTACTAAAGCTGTTAGTATACCACAAAATAGTAGAACGTTGTCTTTTCCGTTGCATCATACGACAAGTACGGGAAAGCCAAAGACATTTATACCATTGACACCGCCGCCAATGTCGAGTAGAAAATTTGTAGAGCCTACCCACTCGCGTATACGCAGTTTCTCATTATCCTCCCATAAACTTTCAGCCAACCATCATCAGCTGCAATTTCAAATGCACAACGGCAGTAACAACAATACAAGCAGCACTAATATGATAGTAGATGATGTATCACCGCCGCCTGTGCAACCAACCCAACAGCATTCGAACTACTCAGTGTCTTTAAGTGGTCAGCTGCATTCACCACCGCGTAGTTCCGTGGGTAATCATTATATACAAATGATAAACTCTGCTGCAGTGCAGCAGGCAACAAATAGTAATGGTCTGTCAAGCGGTACAGGACATGTAACGCATGTTACACCCAGAAGGCGTACCATCAGTTCGAATAGTAATGGGTAAGCTATCTCATGAAACTATAATCTCTTTCACTAATATTATTAAAAATAAATACTGTTCAATAGGGCCGGTACCCGTGAAGTTCATAATAAATTGGAAAAAAATCGTCGTGCCCATTTGAAAGAATGCTACGAAGCATTAAAAAATCAATTATCTTTAAAAGATGAAGATCGCCGAAAAACCTCTAATTTAGCCATTTTGGGTGAAGCTTTAAAATGTGTCCAGGTAATTGAATATTTATTTTCTTTTTTTCCAACTAAGCGATTATAATATTTTTTCTTTTATTTATTTTTTTTTTTTTATTACATTTCAGTCATTTCAAAGGCGCAACCAAGAGCTGGAAGCCGAATGGGAGCATTTGGCGAATGATAAAATCAATTTACAAAAACGTATTGTTAGCTTAAAGCGTGAACTTGGTCCAAAATATGAACAATTGTTTTCGGGTATATTTCCTGACATTGATTTGAGTTGTATACCAACAACCAGTGATAGGGGTGAGTGGGTTTATTTAAAGTATGTCAAAGCATAATCAATTTTCCAATTTCAAATAAAAAATTGCGTTTGTGGAACAATCATATACGATACTTGAGCTGCTTTAAAGAAAATGGGTACAAAATTTGAATAATTACTTGAAAGTTATTCAGCAGATTTATTGAATGCCACCACATTTCACCTACGTTATATATATATATATATATATATATATA